AGACATTTCCTACTTTTCCCCTTGCCATTAACCACAAGTACAGCCAATCCCAGATAAACACATAAACACTGGTCACCCATAGTCCTGAATTTTTAAAAGAGCCTCAACCAAGCATTCAAAATGGGATGTATTCATGGTGTATCTGATTACTGCCTTCAGCATGAAACTAGACCTATCTAAATAGACACACAGAAACCATGGCTCTGATTAATATTATCATTTAAAACACATACTGCACTTCTCATAGGAGCTAACATTTGAGAAAAATCCGCGTGTGAAAATAATCTGTATTAATAAATGAGTTCCAACCGAACAGAAAATATGCCCAGAAACTGTGGGGTGTAAGGGCAAGGTTCTGCATGTTTAAGTTCACTTTTTTAGGGGAAAGCATGCCATATAAAGGACCCAAGGCTCCTACTCACTCTCAGAAAGTTCACTTGGATGTATTATTTTTAACGAAAATGAAAGCACTCATGTTTAGCTATACAAAGAATTAAGCTATTTGTTATGTATTAAAGAATTTACGAGGCACAATGGCATAACTAGAGCTGATGACAGATGGAGAATACTGGTCTTCAGTGTCCACATAGAACAGCATACAAATTAGACTGGACTAGGGATAAATTTAAGGTAAGCTTGTCATCAGCCATCATCACCAGCCATGACAGCACGGTGGAAAGGGAAGGTATGGGTTCTGGAGTCCGACAGAACTAGCAGGAAAAGTTCAGTTCTACTCTTTCCTAGCTGACTGACCTTGGCCCCTTTCTGTGCCTGTTTGCTCAACTGTGAAATGAGCCTACTTTGCAGGGTCACCACAAGAATGAAGTGGTGGACATCAGGCACAGGCCCGGCCTTGATTAAATTGTAGCTGTTGTTATCACCACCTTCAGTGTCACAAGCTTTATGATGTGTTTGAAGGTTATCCAATCCTGAGACAGATCAATGCTGGAGATTTTCAAGGAAAGGAAACATAAAATTTGTAATTATTTACGTGTGGGGTGACTATACGAGAGGGACAGGGGCCCAGATATCCTGTTGAAAGGCAGAGCCCACCCTCCTTGTCTCCCTTTTTAGTGCCTAATTGTGAACATTTCATTCTTATAATAGTTTGAAAGAAAAACCGAGAGTGATACCCCTTTATTATTTTAGAGAGGGAGAGAGAGAGTGTGTGTGTGAGGAGGGGAGAGGGAGAGAGAGGGATAATCTTAAGCAGACTCTAGGCTCAGCACCCAGCCTGAAGTGGGGCTCAATCCCATGACCCTGGGATCATGACCTGAGCCAAAGTCAAGACTCAGATGCTCAACAAACTGAGCCACCCAGCCCCAACCCCGCGCACCCCCCCCCCCGCCGCCCACTTTAAAAAGAGGCTGTTTTCTTGCCAAAAAAGGGCAGCTGATCACAGTCCTGGTTACTAGGTATAGTTTTGTTCTTGATATTTTAAAAGAGCCAGAAAAAGTTCATCCAAAGTGGATAGAAAGTAGGTGGTGGGAAGAAAGGCTGCGAGAGTTGGAGTCATTCACTCCAGACAAGACAGGGTTTGACGGATTCTAAATGTGTTAAGTGGTGCTGAGGCTGCTGTGCCACCTTCCTTCTCCATCCACAGAAGGACTCCCGTACTCAACATTTTTTCTTGGATGGATGATTTCCCTTCCTGAAGAAAAGGGGTCACCTAGATGACCTTGTGAGGCCTCTTCCAGTTCTAAGCCTTCGCACAAATACAGAAGAGCAAAGAGACACCCAGCTCGTCAATGTGGGGGTGGGTTGCAGCCGCATCTGTTTAAAATGAGGCTGAGGTAGCTTGGTACAGAAGAAAGGGTGGGGGCTGGGATTCAGGCAAAGGTGGGTTGGAATCTGCCTCTGAAACTCACTCTTGGGCAAGTTACGGGAGTAAAAGAACTCAGCTCTGTCCTCCCTTGTAGCATGGAGATAATCTCTGCCTTCTAGGGTTCCTGAAAGGATTAACTGAAATAATGTTGGCAAGGCACCTAATATTTTGACTGGCACATATAAGCCTTTGATAAATTGGAGCTATTATTCCAGTTGGTTGAAAAATGGGGTGAAAGATTAACGCCCTTCTGCTTATAGTTATACAAATTCCAGTAGGCAGACCGACACCACCGTGGCCCACAGGATCCACACTGCAAGTGGAGCCTGTCCACACCAGACGATGTTTGAGGGGACAACTTATTAACCACTGTGGTCCTTAGGGGCAGCAGACACCAAAGACAAGGCCTAAGGCATCTTGGTAGGGCTCTGGTTTCTCTCACTGTCACCAAAAGAATCACAGGAATTATTTTAAAAAGGTTCCAAATACATCCAGGTATAAAGAATATATCACATCCCACTGATTTGTCATTCACACCAAGTACAGTAAAAAACATCTGTCAAAAAGCAGGTTTGCAAACCAAATGCATTGTCAGAAATTGTAATTAGGATTATTTTCCTTCACGAATGACACAAAGCTAAAAATGGAAGTCATCAAGAAATTGATCAGCTCTTGCAAAGCAATGAAATACAGTGGCCAGAACCCTATACAAGTAAAAGGCACTCCTATTACCATCAGACTTTTCCACAAAATGCAATTTTTTGGTGTTACATCAATGTGGAATTGCATAATATTTAGCATTTACAGAAAGATGCTGGAGGCTGAGGCAGAACAGCTCTGCTTTTTGTTCTTTACCAGTAGTGCGGTCCGTGGCAGGACACCTGTGAGGCTGTGGAGAACTGGAGAGGACAGAGGAAATGCAAGGTACAAACATGCATATAAAGTGAGGCCCACGGACAGCTGGGCCAGAAACATGGGAGTGTTTCCTGAAGCCCTTCTGTGTCATTCGGAGAATCAAACTTGGCTTGGAAAACACATCCTGTTTCCATCAAAGGAGGAACAGGTTACAGCTGATAGAACCGAGCTTTACAGACAAGGGAGCAGAACAATGCAGTCTGAACTGATGCAGTCACATGAAAGAGCAGCCTATTTTTGTTGGGCATAAACAAACACAGGCATGACACGTGGTGAAGTGACTCCAGATACATCAGGAGCTGGACAAGGCCCAGTGTGGATGCCTGTCAGTGTGAGATCTATGAAGGCCATCATGCCATTAAATCAATCCTAAGCAGGAATCTCACATGACAGTGAAGCAGCCCTTGTATTACCCAAAGATAAGCGTTACATTAAACCAAGTAAAACTCGGGGCCAAGTTAAAACTCGTTCTTTTCAGCTGTGTAACATTCCAGTGGCAACATGAAACGGTCCAGAGCAGCTAAACCCAAAACCTTCGGTAAGCTCATCAATAGGCCCATCATCTTCGGACAGCTGTTTGGAAGTGAGGGTGCAAAATGTCCACAGAAATCTATCACATCCATCCTTACTTTGCTTAAAGTCATCATTTTATGATGCTTTAGATATTACAAATCCGACTGCATGGTCCTTAAATGGCACTTTACTATTATTGTTTGTATGTGTGGAATAACTGGACAAAAGAAAAACCACAAAGTGGCAACTAATATAATAATCAAGAACACCATGGAAAGAAAAGAAATGATAAAACAGGATTTTCAAGGAGAGGAAAAGTATCTACAACTCTGGAAATTAACCTCAAAAGTCCTCATTACCAAGGGGACATTAACATCGATGTTTTACTTCCCAGATGCCCTTTTCTGAGTCCCCACGAACATCCTGGTCTAAGTGGCAGATTCTCTCAGGGTGTGAACAACTTCTTAGGAATAGGGCAAACCCTTTCAGCAGTTTATTGAGTAGCTCAGACCACTTGGATAAATGCCAATAAAAGTCTGCTCAGAGCCTTAGAGAGCCACCGGCTTGGAGAAATGTGCGGGGCTCCCAGGTGGCTGAGTACGTTGGGTGTCTGACTTCGGCTCAGGTCATGATCTCACGGTTCGTGGGTTCGAGCCCCACATCAGGCTCTGTGCTGATAGCTTGGAGCCTGAAGCCTGCTTTGGATGCTGTCTCTGTCTCTCTCTCTCTCTGCCCACCCCTGCTTGTGCTCCGTCTCTCAAAACTGAATAAACATTAAAAAAAAAAAAAAAAAAAAAAAAAAGGACTAGAGGTGCTTTCAGAAATGATTATCTCAACGCCAAGGAGTAACTCATGTGGTTGGAGTATCTGCCTAATCCAATCCTGCGAGGTAACAGGACATTTGAGGTTAACGAGGGACAACTGATTCATGACACCTAAATTCTAAATTTACGATAAAATGTGTTAATTTACAATTAAGAGGTAAGAAAATCTCTTTATCTGGGTTTTGATAGCTTATAACACATTCATCGAGAGAAAGACCTTAAGTTATGGTGGCAAGAAGAAGTTGCTGAATATTCTAAGGCAATTTGACCATGTTCCTAGTCTTATTAATGTCCTTCTAGATTTACTACAGGGATTTCACTTGATTTTTCCTTCTTCTGGAATTTTGCTTGATTTTTAATGTAAAATACACATTAGTGCTTCAGTTCATTTTGGAAACGTGCCTTGTGAAGGATTTCAGAGATATTTTTCTTTCTTTTCAAAAACAACCTTCAAATAAAAATAATAGACTTTCAGATAACAAAGCCCAAAGTGAAAAACATCAGACTCTGCTAATGTGGTCAGGAAAAGACCAAAGAGACCTTCTGAAGTGGGGTGGCCGAGTGCTGAAATAACTTAAAACATTTTAGCAAAAGGTAAATAAAGTACCATTCAGGAAACCTGCCATCAAAGCAGCCAGGGCCGGAGGGCACACCAGAAACCTCTAGCTAACGTCCCAGTTTGACTAACACTGGTTGTTTCAAATGAGGGACTTCCTGGGAGGGACCTAGCGTCAAGGCAGACTGCTTTTCTTGACATCAGAAAACAATTCCACATTTTTTTTTTCTTTTTTCTTAAACACAGCGCAGAATCCAACACATTTCAAGGCCATGTGACGCGGCTTTTGTTGCTTTATGAAGCAGCTGCAGGTTTGGAAAAGGAAATTGTATTCAGGTTCAAACACACTACACTGGTCTTGGTTTACCTGCCATATGCAAAACGCCTGTCTTTGTGATGATCGCCAAAAGTATCCCAAAGCCTGAGAGAAACGCTCACTTCATCAACAACATCCCGGGAACGCTCCAGGACCTGCAGGAGAGAGAGTGCAGTCCTGCTCAGTGTCACTCAGAGGCTCCTCAGGAGAAGGATGTCTAGGTCAGCACACCTCAAGGCTCACTTGACCCACCTGCCTTTAGTTTTGTCACTGCATCTAACAGGACTTGAGCTAAGTCCTAATTCTCTTTCTGGAATCACGTGACCCAAACCCTCCTCATTCAAGAAACCGCAGCCATACGCCCGAGTTTGCGTTTTACTTTTGTTTTCTCTTGTGGCACTAAACACATAAGCTTTCTTTCGCATGCACAAGTTACCCGTACTCCCTGGCAATAGCAGGGGATGTGCCATCAAATCCGGACTGGCAATAGCAGTGATGTGCCCTTAGGAGTCTAAAGAAACTCTGTACGTCTTACCTCCTGGCACACTCGGTACTGGTCGATCGCCCACACGGTAGGCACGTGGGTGGCCAGCAGCTGATACTGCGTTAGCGTTGTGTTACACGCTCTGGCACAGATCAAGCGCGTCTTCCCCACGGCGTTGTCTCCCACGACCACACACTTGATGGTTTCAACGTTGGGTCTTTCGTAGTCCATGTCAGTATCCATTTATAAAACTCTGGAAGAAGAGAGTTACAGAGCAATCACAGGGGAGAGGGGTTCAGGCCGTTTCCCCTTTGTCTGGGCTCTTCTTCGGAAGTGCCCAGGCATAAGCGAGAGGTTTGGAACTCCATACTAAGCCTAAGTGAAACTCAAGTTTTCTATTTATGTCTCACACAAGTGCAAAAACACCGCCGGCTTGTTATTTTGACCCCAAACGGTTTATGCCGGTTAACATGTTATTTTCTCCTTGGTTTTCTCTAAACACAACCTGCCTACTGAAAATCCATCCAGGCAAATGAGAGTGCTGGCACACATTTATAGCTCACTAGCTACTCATGTTGATCCACTAAAGACACTGGTCACCTGCAGGTTTAACCTTAGACACTGGGGCACGAGCCACCTTGGCAATATTAGTGACCATGCCATCTCAATCTCCCAACGAGCCAATCTCTCTATCCGAAAAGCAGTTTCCTGCAGGCTCTACACCACCATGGTGACTTAGGGGAGGCTCAAAAGTGCAAGCAAAGAGGATTAGCCTGCTTTAAAGATGAGTCAACAGTCCAACTGAATTTTTATTTTTTGAATTTTGAATTTTATGAATCAAATTCATAAATTTTATGAATTTGAATTTTATGAATCAAATTCATAAAAACGATATTCTTAAAAGGGGCACCATAAAGCAATGTATTTTTTTTTTTTAATTCTCTTTCTCTCTGTGTTTTCATTAAGAAATCTGGAGCATATGGTGAAGAATGATTTTACCAGGATGAGGAGCTAGTTTGGAATCTCCCTGAAAGCATCAAGAAAGGTTTAAGAGAGTTGCTGAGTGAGGGGTCAAGAGGAAGAGAAAAAGCTGTCATGAGCTCTGCTTCCCCGGGGGGGTCAGGAACCTCCATAAAACGCAGAGCAGACTGCTTCTTGGCAGCAGCTGGATGGCTGGCCAACCATGGAAGATTCTAAGGTTTTAATGAATTATAATTGCCCTTTTGAAGAAGTCTACTGTTTTTTAATTTTGTTTTTAAAGTTGGCTTCACACCCAGTGCAGAGCCCAACACAGGGCTTGAACTCAAGACCCTGAGATCAAGACCTGAGCTGAGATCTACAGGTAGCATGCTTAAGCAACCGAGCCACCCAGGCACTCTGAGGAAGTAACTGTTAAAAGGAGAAAACTGCTTAGATGGTCACTTTTAATGAGCCAATAATGGTTTTAGTGGTCATATTGGTAAAGAAACTGCTCAGAGTAGGGCCTGATACATAACTGGGGCTCGGTAAGTGTTTGTTTAATTCAACTGATTTGAGAAAAATGATAATTTGGATAATATGAGATTAAGAGTACAGAAGGAGAGACAGAAGAAAGAATATGAAATAGAATGAATACTTTTTCCCAGTTAGGACCATCTGAACATGAGACTGTCTCCTGTAACACCATCACAGGAGGTGTTGAACCCGAGACTACAGACTATTTGGCAAGACTTGAGTGGAGTGATTCAAACAACAGATGTGTGGTGAGGTCAGGATCTGGTCTCAGGATCCTGTCTGTGGTTTACACACCATAGAGAGGCTTAAAATAGATATCTGTGCCCACCAGCAAATGTAGATTCTGAAGGTCTTGGGTGGAGAAAGAGAGGCTTAAGAAAAACTCCAATTCTGATGATCACCCACAGGTGGTGACTCCTCAAATTGATCTCTTCTAATTTCTAGTCTATGGTTTTATTAGTTCCCTATTTCATAGTCTAACGTGGCAAAAGCCTGACTTTGGCATCAGATCAGTGGTCCTGCAATACCTGCCAGAGAACATTTAGCAAAGTCTGCAGACATCTTTGGTTGTCACATGGGGTTGGGGGAGAGGCCAGAGATGTTTCGAAACATACTATAATACAAGGTACAGGTCCCACGACACGGAGTAATTGGGGCCCAACGGTCACAGTGCTGAGGTTGAGAAATCTCAGCCTTAGAGGAGATGTGACTTTGAATCCTACTCTCCCCATTTTCCAGCCATTTTGTCACTGGACAAGACATTTGCGCTTTCAGCCATAGCTTCCGCATCTGTTAAGTGGGAACTATAGTACCAGGCTCCTAAAGTAGTGAGGATTTGGTGGACTGACTGATGTACCTGACACACCCATGACTCCCAGGATTCTAATCGTGGTGCTGAAGGTGAGTTGAGTGCCTTGAGGGGACAACAAAACAGTCAGGGGAAGCCCAGGATTAGCCATGAAATCATAAACTTAATAACCACGAAGATCTATACGAAGGACGAATTTCAGTAGAGCAAGCACAGAGTAATTCAGTGAAAAACAAGCATAAATGCAAGATGGAGCAGAGCTGACTTTACGTCAAGAAGGCAGGGAAACTTCTGGGTGGGAGTTGGACACAGTTAGCTAAGCGATAATAGAATTGGAAAGGTAGGTTAGAAATATTTTCCTGGGGCATTTCTAGCTTCTAGGATAAAAAATGGTAACACTTGTTGTGGATAAGAAATTTGATATGTTTCTGGTGATATTACTGTAGGGTATATACCCTGTGTCAGAAAACAGGATCTGTTTGGAGCTTCACAACTCTGGAAACTAAGGTACATTATTTTGATCATCCTAAGTGGTGGAAAATCTTACTCTTTTGAAAGTGAATTTTATTTTTTTAGATGGATAAAAGCCATGGAGAGCCAATCCTTAAAATTCGGGGGAACGTTTGGATTTAGTCAAAACTGAAATAGACACACACAAAACACACAGTTGGTTTTCTTGTCAGATTGCAAACTAGCTTTGAGAGCAGCCCCTGAAAGGAACCCCCCAAATAATTTGAATCATGACAGCATTGGTGGAAGAGCTGTGTAGCTTTTACACAAGACTACTTTGAAGGGGATGAAAGCTCTCCTGCTTTTATATTAAGGCTATGATTACAAAACTATCGTTACTTATTTATAGACACACCTCATGCACAGTTCTGAAAAGAATTTCTGTGTCAAGGGTGAGAATAACATCCATGGATCCTCTAATCTCTAGCAATCTGCTCAAAACCCAAGTGACTGCCAAAGGTGCTAAACTCTGTACAAAGGGGACAACATGGAAGGGAAGTGAAAGGCAGGGCAGAATTAAACACTCGTAGCCCAGCTCACTCACTGCAGACGTGGAATTTCCAGGAAGGGTTTTCTGGATTCCAAATACTGAAAATCTTTTCTTTGGGGTATAAACTTGATTTTGTGGTAATCTAAAAATTATTTTAAGTGTAAGAAGTCACAGCCAAGCATGCAAAGCCATGCTACACATGTATTGTAAACTGATTGTTCATCGTTTATAAATAAAGTTATGATAATTATAAAAATATGCAATATTATCCTTCTTTACTTGTTATGGGCTCTAATTTATTCATATTTAGCACTCTTACAGTTGAATGAGCTCTTAGGACCATCTGGTTAATGACTATCTGGTTTCTGACTTTCATTTACCTAGAATGAGAGCAATAAATATTATTCCTTTAACACTGTTAATAAATTTCACCACCATGAACCCTGCCGATCAGTGCAGATACTCTTTTGCCTTTAGATACGAATCTGAGGAAACAAAGAAAGTATAAAAGAAAGAGCTAGAAAGGACTGACACTGGACCTATTACCACGGCAGCTTTGTAATCTTACTCAAAACTGACCTGACCTTCATTTCATACTTTTTCTGAATCCTCAGGACATGGATGCTGACCATTAAGTGTTGAAGGACATACCTGCACACTGTGGATGTCAGAAGCAGTTAAGTTTATTTAGAACTGACCAGTGAACAGGACAACGTGGTGGGTGGGGAGTGAGGACTTGGTGAGGTGGCCCAGGGTGGCTGCCCCCTGGGTGTTGGTGCCCACCATCAACTTAGAGACTGTGGTCACGATGGCCCCATGTGCTCACACCGTGATTAATGTCACCTTCTGGACTTCAGGTCTCTCCTGAAGGTCCACATTCACCACCAGCTCAGCCTTCTTGTCACATCCACAGGGCAACACATCCTACATCTAGCCTCTCGGCTGCTCCACCTAACCTTCCCCACACTCTACTTGGGCCATTCATGCTCTTGGCCACGTGCTGGATATTGTTGTCATCCAGAAACATTTTACCCCTGAAATGTCGAGTTTCAAAATCCTACTCTCAAAGTAAAACTCCTATCTTTACAGCCTCTGCCTGGTGAAACGTGGGCGCGGCAGCAACTCCCATCAGGAGACAGAATCTGTTTCCCTTCCTCTAGAATCTGAGCTAGCCTTGTGACTGCGTGGCCCATTCCAAAAGAATGTGGTGGTGATGCTCTGTGAGTTCCAGAGCCAGGGTCTCCAGAAGGCCTGCAGCTCCACCCTCACGCTGTTGGAATGCTGTCTTGAGGCTGTCCTCTGAGGAAGCTGGCCTAGCCCCACAGAGGATGAGAATTCCCAGTGAGAATAACCGAAGCAGCCCTGCAGATGGCTTCACCAGATGCCATATAGTGTGAGGCTACCTGAATCCTCTAGCCCAGCCAACTGTCCAGCTGAATGAAGCTTTATGAGTGAGCCCAGCTAAGGAATCACCTAGCCAACCTACAGAATCAGGAGAAAGTACAGATTATTGTTTTAAACCACCACGTTTTGGGGTGATTTGTTATCACGAGCAGGGGAGGGGCAGAGAGAGATGCACACAGAATCCGAAGCAGGCTCCAGACTGAGCTGTCAGCACAGAGCCCGATGCAGGGCTCGAACCCATGAACCATGAGATCATGACCTGAGCCGAAGTTGGATGCTTAACTGACTGAGACACCCGGGTGCCCCTGGATGATCTTTTCTACCTAGGGTTGATGGATCATGCCAACTTTCTCTTCACCATCATCCTCAGCATCTTGTATTGCATGTGTGGGAGGCAGAATAATGGTCCCTCAAGGATGTTAATGTCCTAATCTCTGGGATCTGTGAATGGCATGGGGCAAATAGGGTAGCAGATGAAATTAAGGTTGCTAATCGGCTGACTTTACTCTAAGGAGCTCATTCCGGATTGTCTGGGAAGGCCCAATG